TATATATATTGTATACCTTTTATTGAAGGTTTCATTGAGTTCGAGCCCTTGCTCCTTGAAATAATCGTCAAATTCGGTTGCAATTACTGTTGGCTTTAATTCGGCTGCCCCACTGCACTCAAGCATAAATTGCTTTATTTTTCCCTTTTATATATCATCCTAAATTGCCAATATGTCCATTTAAGTACTCTTTTCATGAAATTAAAACCAAATTAAGTTTTAATTTTGAAGTATCCTATTTTAAATTTTAAAAAATTTGTAAGATAAATATTTAATATTTTTAATAAAAAAATTATATATATATGAAAAATAAATTTATAATATAAAAATATTATATGACATTTAAAAAATTAGATAAAAAAAGGAGAGAGAAAATACCTTTTATTGATATGGAAGTTGACTTTGAACTCCTGCTCCTTGTAATCATAGTCAAAGTCCGTAATAAGAAAGCTTCCATAAAGAGGAGAGGATTTAGAGAATTTGATCGTATTATATATCATCAGAATTACCATATGCCGATAAATATACATACTTATCTAAGACTTCCAACTCCTTGAAAGAATGGTCAGATTCCATACATGAGAAGCTTCCACTAGGAGAAGGCGGGGATTTAGACATTCCAGTTGCAAGTCCTTTGGGCTGTGACTCAGTTACTTCACTACAATTATGCATAAATTGGTTTAGGTTCCCATTTTATGTCATCGTAATTTCCCATACGTCTACATGTACCTTTTCATGGAGACATCTTTAACTTCGAATTCCTGCTCCTTGAAATCATGGTCACAGTCCTTACTCTGGCGACTTCCATCATAAGTAAGCGAGCTGTGAGCTATGGGCTGCAGCTTGGCTTCCATGGAGGAGGTGCTGCAGTTAAGTATTGAAAGTGCCTTTTCAAAGGAAGATAGGATCTTTTGGACTAACTCAGGATCTTCTTTGGAAGATGACCCTTTGAGATTTGCTTGGAGCTGCCTTGCTAGCTCCCTTCCTTGTTTTAGTTCATTTTTAACATTCTTATGTTCCCAGCTCTCCATGTCTCTATTGGAGAAAAAAAAAAAGGAAAACAAAGAATTAAGATGTTCTACCATAAAATCTAGATAATGGGAGATAAGGTTTCGTCCAGCAAGTGTGATTGAATACAAGCCAAAAAGCAGAAGGACATTGGTATCTGAGAATAGAAAATTAGTGAATTCGAAGCTGAAAGCATATAGTAATATGCACCCGATTATTTACTTTATTAGTTGGTATATTCTTTCCGTATTTAAAGAACAGAGTTCGAATTCCCTTCTCTTAATTATTAAAAAAAAAAACATATGCTAATATGCACTAAGAATAGAGAATCAGTTATCAAATAAATAAAACAATCCGTAAGGGTTGGAAAATGAAAGAAATAACAGGAAAATTTTGTTGCAGCCAATTTATAGTTGAACGCTCAGACTTCAACAATTTCCAGGGTCAGTTAAACTTGAACGTGTACTCTTACTGTGTCCAGCTATACCTTGATATGAGTTTGGCAGATGGTTTTTACTTCCCTAATGCCGGTTAACGATTCACTAGTAATCAATTAATTGAGGACGAGAGCTTCCAAATATAGTAAAACTTGGGAAATCAAGTGCACCACCTGTGTAATTAAATCTTATTAGACTTCTTTGCATAAAAAGTAGTTAATATAAAAATCTAATCCCTGGGAGGATGATTCATCCAACAAAATGACCAATCTGGCTTGCATATATAGGGGATTCGGGTACCAACCTGTTAGATGCTGAGCATCAACCCCCCATGGTTAATTCCCATCTCATCCATAGCCAATCTGCCATGGACTCCCCACACTCCGACACGCTTGTTAAAAGCTTTCAAACTTCAAGTGAGAAGAAGCGAGAGCCCTCCTGCTCACCGTCCCTCATTGTTTGTTGCTTCCCAAGACCTGCTCCATGAATTTAGTCAAACAATGAAGAGAAAGTTGAAGAAACGTCCATATATTCTTTGAACTAGCGAAAACCAAAACTGTTGTCCGCATGCCTTTGTCACTTGCCCATACTTTAATCATTGATGGTTTTCTACCCAATATTTTAATTATTGTAGAATTTAAAATCTTTATTTTTTGTCAAAGAAAATACACTAACCGAGGCAATCCACAATTGACATCTTAGCACCAGGCATTGGCTATGGCTACCTCATTTTGGACAATAGCGTTATTTTTAATTTCATGGCATACAATTATTGATCACAAGATAACATTTAAAGAATAATAGACTATGGACTGGGCCTCTTTCTACATGCTTTTTTCCTTTTTTTTCTACCTTTCTCTTTTTGGTTTTTTATATCTTCCATGCAGCTAGAGGAGGAAGCCCGTTTGCAACTTCCTGTCTGTTACAGATGAAATAACAAGTTGTTGCACTATATTTAGCAAAAATAATAATCTATCTATTTACAAAGACATGAAAAGTGAGTCATGAGATTCAAAGTGGTGTATGAGCATTCCAGATCAGAGCCAACAAGTCTCTTGCATCTCCTGAGTCAACGGTCCATCATCTGCGAGTAGACATATGTAAGTTTTCTGTTAGTAGATTATACAGTTCATCAAAATATAGTTTGAGACATAAATCTTTGTCGGGTGCTTTTGAGAATGCTTCGGGACAGTACAGGACCAAGTAGTTTATGTACTTGTCGTTTCAATCAAAGTTGATTGCTTCATTGATTGTGTTTTGATCTTTGAACCTTAGCTAGATTTTTCTTCTTCGGTTCAACTAGTTTGAAACTCTCAAGGAAACCCATTGAATTTTATTAATTGCAACAAGAGCCAAGGGAAGAACCACCCCTCTAGATGAGGGGAGTCCCTCTTCTCCTTGTCTGCTCACAGCAACCCAAGAAACACAACAGATATTTCTTCCTTACAGCATCCGCACCCTGTAGACTTAGGATCTTAAAACTGAAAAATAACCCTGTTTGTCCCCTGCCCAGATACAAGCAGAGGTCCCCAAAGACCCAGTTCATAACAGACCCTTTTACAACCAGCACAAACCCACACCAGAAACAAGACACAAAAAACACATAAGAGTATAGGCCCACAGATTGTTGCATGAACCTCTTTTCATGACTTGAATTCGGCAGCAAATAAAAGGTATGAAATTTTATATATGTTTTTCTCTTATGTTGAAACAAATATAATTGGATTGTGAGGGTTGGAATGAATCTGGAGAGCCATTTCTACTTCTGTTTTCTTGGTAAGATTTCAGGTTTATGCATGGAGCTTTGAACCCTCCTCTAGATAATGTAGTTAGCATTGAATGGTGCATTGAGAAAGATAGATTGGCAAGTTATGATGAGATGATCAGCTTATTTGGAGTTTAACAATGGCTGGTGTTCAGCATGTATCTGTTTTTTTTTTTTTTTTGAAGTAAAAAATTTTATTTATCCAAAAGAAAAGGAAAAAATTCTGTTACAAAGATACAAAAATAGGAGAATAGACAGAACCATTACATAAAGAAATCAGTCAATTTTTCTAAAAAGAAACAGAAGTTTTTTGGCTGCAAAATCTTAGCCTGATCACTTCAGAAATTTATTATACTTTCATGCTTTCTTCTATTCTTTTTCCTTCCAATAAATATGAGCAGACATCTGATTTTGTCACAATGCTATGTGGCAGCATAGAAGTTATAATGGCTGAATTGGCAAAGGAATTGCTAAAAGAATTTGCAAAAGATGGGGCAAAAGGAGCCTTGGACTACATTATGGGGAAGCGTAGTTCATGGAACAACATGGATAATAATTTCGACATGATGATAACTGCTGCAGAAAAGCTCCAGGCAAAAAGGGACGATCATGAGAGGATGGTGGAACAAAATAGAACAAAAACAACCAGCAGATGCTACAAAAAGTGGCTTAGCAGCGTTGCAGAGACTCTTAAACAAGTGGAAACATTAAGAGCTGAATATGATAGTGTTCAATCCTCAGATTGGATACGCCAGTCAAATTATAGTGGCAAGGCCACTTATATTTGCCAGACAGTTGAGAGACTTGTGGAAGAGGGACATTTTCAAGGAGGATTTTTGGTAGATAAGCCTCCAGAAGCCATCTTAAAGTCGAATGCACCAGACCTTGAAGGATTTCCTACCCTCCAAAGATCATTACAAGAAATACTGGAGTTGCTAAGAAGTGATAAACTAAAAGGAATCGGTATTTTTGGCACAGTGGGAGTTGGGAAAACAACAATAATGAAGAACTTGAATAACCACGAAGAAGTTGCCAAAATGTTTGATATAGTCATTTGGGTAAATGTTTCAAGGGAGAGGAATGATGAGAAACTGCAACTGAACATTGCACAGCGACTTAAACTGAAGATGGAAGGTGCTATGTGCTCTGGTGAACTTGCAAGGATCATATCAGAAGAGATGAAGGATAAGAAGTATTTGCTGCTTCTAGATGAGGTCATGGACTCCATTGATTTGCACCAGATTGGAATCCCAGATAATGGTAGCGGTAGCAAAGTGGTCTTGACTACTGAATTCCGTCATGTTTGTTCATCAATGACAGAAAGATTGGTCAAAGTGGATCGATTGTCTTCAGATGAGGCATGGAGGATGTTTCAACAGATAGCAGCTGATAAAATAGATCTCCCTGATGTTGAACCGGTTGCTCGGCTGGTAGCTGATGAGTGTGATCGACTCCCTCTTGTAATCAGAACAGTGGCAAGTTCATTCAAATTGAAGGAAAGTGATTCTGAATGGAGGAATGGATTGAGAGAACTTGAAAAATGGCCAGAAATTGAGATTCCAGGCTTAACAAACATGCATGCATTCCTTAAGTTTTGTTATCATGAACTGAAGGATGAGAAGAAAAAGAAATGCTTTCTGTATGGTGCATTTATATCCAGCTGATAGCAAGATATATGTTGATCATTTAGTGGAATGTTGGGCTGCTGAAGGACTCCTTGGCACTATTGATGACAGGCGGAAATTTCGAGATGCACGTGATGAAGGACGTGACATATTGGGACATCTAGTCAATGTGTCATTGCTCGAGAAAGGTGAGAGAATGATCTATGTTCAAGTGAACAACAGTGTCCGACAAGTTGCCTTATACATTTCCTCACAAGAGCCTGATTGCAAATTCATTGCTCTAAAAGGTGAACATTCATCTTATCCTCAAAATGTTACAGATTGGCAAGAGGCAAAAAGGATCTTTATGATTGAAGGAAAACTGCATGAGTTGCCACAAAACCCAAACTGCAACAATCTTTTGTCACTATTGCTTCAAAGAAATCCCAGTTTGGCTACTATCCCACCATCATTTTTTCAGAACATGCAGAAACTTCTAGTTTTGGACTTGTACCGAACAGGAATAGTGTCACTGCCATCATCTGTATCAACACTGACTAGGCTTAAGGCTCTTTTCTTAAATGATTGCCCCAGCATAACAAGATTGCCTCCCCAAGTTGCAGAACTTTGTTTTCTTGAGGTGCTTGACATTCGAGGCTGCAAGATAATTTTCATACCTCCTCTTATCGGAAAATTAGTTCACCTGAGGTGCTTGCGGATGTCCTACCATAAATGCAGCAATATAGAAGACTTTCGCGATATGGAAATTGATTACAAGGTGATTTCAAGACTTCTAAGATTGGAGGAACTAATGATTGATGTGACCTCCTATGGCCATTGGTGCCTCGATGTTGCAAGAATTGTACGGGAGGTGGCTTCCTTAGAGAATTTAACTACTCTCAGAATATGCTTTCCGCAGCCAGAGATCCTCAGAATGTTAATGGAAAGCAATCCATCATGGAGGGATAGCAAACAATTAACTTCATTTTGGTTTTTTGTTGGCTGTCAAAACAAGAGCAATCCTCCAATTCTTGAATGTTTTGAGTACAAAGTAAATCGATATATGAGATACTGCTATCCTGGCAACAACGATTCCACAATTCGTGATGTCCTTCCTAAAACTGATGCATTGGAATTGATTGGCCACAAGAACATCAAATGTCTATCAGACTTCAATGAATGTTGCCAGCCTGAACCATGTTCGTGGTTGCCTGATTGAGCGATGCAATAAAATCACAAGTATTATAGATGCCGAAAGGGAAGGAGAAATAGACATTCTACCGATCTTGGAACAGTTACATTTAAGGAATTTGCTCCTTCTGGATAGTATCTTTGAAGGCCCCATTTCAGGAAAAAGCTTGTCAAAACTACATACTATTGTAGTGAAGTATTGTCCAATGTTGACAAAGCTATTTTCCAATGGGGTGATTCAACAGCTCCCAAAACTCAAAAAATTGGTAATGGAAAGCTGCTCTGAGATAGAAAAGTTGATTGAGCTTCCAAGTCTAGAGATTTTGGAACTGGTTGGCATGCTGAAATTAAGAACTATATCTGGGGATGAGTCGTTGGCATGGCCCCAGTTAAAGGTGCTTAAGATATTTGGATGTCCCGAGGTGAAATCACTACCTTTCAGTAAAACCAATGCAACGAAGCTAAAATTAATAGAAGGAGAACAAATATGGTGGGAAGAATTGCAGTGGCGAGACAGTGAGGTTAGAGACCACCTTCAATCCTTCTGCAGCCTCAGGTGAATGTTTCTTCTGGTTATTCTAGTTTGCACTGCTGTAATGACAACAATTAAGAACAACATAAGATTTTAACTGCTTTAGTTTGACTGGATGTTGTAGCTTCGTAGTGTTAACAGCTGTTGGATTTGGAGATTCCTCATATTTTTTTAGCCAAGGACATGTTGGACTTTGTGTTTGATTTTAGTTTTTAACAGGTGCTATTGATGCTTTCCTTAGTTGTACAGGTATAAGCAAGCTCGCCCCCAAACTATCAAATTGATGTAAATTCCAACCAGATATAATCCTCGACTCTCTCCATATCAAAATTTTGTCCTCTTTGATTTTGACATATTTTGGGGCAAAAGGCAAAAGGAAATGAAATGGCAAAATTCCATAAAACATGAAACTACAGAAATTGATTCCTAAAAGGAAAGTATTTTTGCTACTAAATATACAAAGATTGGAATTGAATATTTCATTCAACTACTTTTCTGTAACATTCAAGTACCTGCAGTTGGGCATTCTGAGAGTTACAATGATATTACCTGCAGTTGCCAAGCCTACCTACCATTCTTATCGTCTATTGGTTAAAACTAAGTTCTACCAGTCCCTCTGCTGCCAATTGTGTCTTTATATCATTCTCCCTGATAATTGGGGAAAAGATACCATTCAGATAATCTACCCGATTTCCCCATTCTGATTCTTTCCACTTCAATGCTTCCCACCACTTACTTTCTCCTTTGATCACTCTTAAGTTTTCACTTGAAATTTCCACTGTAGAAAGGCTCTCGAGCTTTGGGCAGTTGTAAATGCCTACACTTTCCAGTTCTGATGCAATGCACAAACCGCTAGAAATACTAACCAGTTCTGGTAGATAAAGAAGATAAATCTTTTTCAAGCTTGGAAGAAAACAATCAGTTGCTGAGTTGGAGGATGAATGGTCTGTTAGGTTCACTAGACTCATTAGTTGTGGGCATTTTTCAACTATAAGCTCTTCCAACATAACAAGATTAGCAAGCAAATTCGGCAGGAACATTGTAGTCAACTTGGGGCATGCATGAACTGCAAGGAACTTCAGGCTAGCTAGGCAATTCTTACGAACAGGCCTCCTCCAAATGCTCCGTAAATTCTTCATGTAGTATACATTCAAGTACTGTAGTTTTTCGAGTGAATCATGTTCTTCGTGAACCTCTTCACGATCAATAATGGTTTGGATCTCATTACAGTCTGCTAGTAAGCAGCACTTAAGCTGACTGGTATTTTCTAACCCAAAATCAGACAAGCTCTTGGCAGTGACATGCCCGTCTAGGAAAAATGCTGTGCTATGGTTCAGTGCCATTTTCATCTCAGCTGGGATATCCCTGCCTTTTACAAACTTCAAGCATTTTTCCCCATTTTTGAAGTGAGCTTCAGCTTCTTCTGGAACTCGTGATATGACCTGTTGCTTATGATAACCAACAGTAAATCTGAATCGAGGCAATGGATAATGCACCAAAGATGCGCTACCTGCTCTACGTTTTTGCAATATTTGGATGTTTGGCAGGTATAGATTGAGTTGTCTTAAAGTTTTCAGGCTGCATGCTTCCTCAATAACAGCTTGCACAGTTGCGTTCCAACGCTCATCATCTGGATTGACATCAATGTTTAATTCGGTTAACTCAGAGAGCTTTGATATTGTTCCAGGGTGAATAATAATGTCCCGGCACAACTTTGTTTTGCTACAGTTCATAAATCCGTAAAATGACACCCTCAAAAATTTTAATTTGGAAAGATTTCCAACCTCTGCTGGGAGATCTATAATCTCAGTTTTGTCAAGGTCAAGTTTCTCAAGATTCCTCAATTCTCCAACATGGCGAGGCAGTTCCATCAAGAGTTCACAGCCTTTCAAAAAGAGTTCTCTCAGTGTAACCAAACTGGACAGTGATTCTGGCAGAGATTTGAGACTGGTATGTGATAAGTCCAGGATTTGAAGATTTGGCATGTGCTTGAAGAAAGAGGAAGGTACAGCCATCAGATCCAAGTTCTTCTGCAGGTACAATGCAATTAGAGAGGGGCACTTGGGAGACTCAGGTAGCTCAGATAGTTCATTATCCATCAAGTGTATCTCTTTGGCATCCCATTCCTCGTCTTTTGGTGGCTCGGTCAATCTTAGACTGCCTAGCATGAGAAATACTGGACTCGTTCTAGGTAAAAGAACCCTCACAAAGACATCATAGATCTCTCTTCGCAGCTGGACGCAATCTAACCCCAGCAAATTATCCACTAGGAAGGCATCAACAAGGCTTTGGAGAATATCATTTCCTTCATCATACGTATCAACCAGACAATCCTGGATCCAATGGCATATTAGTGAAGCTCTATCAATCTTCTCTCCCTTGGGATACCATGTACAAAGTTTGATGCAATGTCTTGTTTTATTGTTCATGCGTTCCCAAATGAATGTTAATGCATTAACCATGACATAGTCAATATCTTTTACCGCAGATGTAGACTGCCTGGACAATCTTTGAACCGCAAGTTCCCACAGGCTGACATCATCTGTAACTGTCTTCAAGGACCTGGCCATTAGAATGATGGCTTGTAGATTTCCTTGGCACTCTTTAACTATACGTGCTGCTATCTGTTGGATAGTAGGTGAAAGCAGAACTTCACCTGCGTTCCTGCAGAAGACCTCCCATGGCAATAGATGATCCTCCATTCTAATCTCCAGATCAGCTGCCATTTTAGAATTAAAGATCATGATACCTGAATGCAAATGATTATCCAAATCATTAAGGTTTATCTGTAAAGGGAGACTCAAATGATCAAAGTTCATTTTTTTGTAAGAATCCTCCAAAAGCAAAAAAATTCCTAAGGACTGCAAGCTGTCAGACAGTTTAAATTCAGGTGCAAGGTTAATAGAACCAGAACATCCGCTTAGCCTAAGATCCAACTGCCGGTCAATGACTTCATAAACCTCTGCACTACTTTGATGCTCCGGTAAAGTGAAACCAAGGATATATCTAAATTCAGGAGCCACATCTTGATGGTGCTTTATGGCCTCTATCACCCTCTGCTCGTTTCTCCCAGTTACTCGAATACGGTTAATATCTCCCCTCTTTATACAATCCAAAGTCTGACGAACAGCGAAATCAACTGCAAAATCAAATACTTCTTCCGGTACAAGCAGTGCTTCATGCGGGATTAACTCAACTTCTTCAACTTGATCTGCATAACTTGTTGAAGCCATTAGTTGTGTTTTATCTTTCTCTCCTGTTACTACCCTTTCACAGTGTGTTGATAAGACTGTAGACTCTGATGTCTCCCCGGAAACCAATGTCCAGTTTCTATCCAATTCCAACTGGGGCCCTATATTAGCTTCTGCAGACATAAACAGTTTCTCAACTATGTCTCCTGGTAAAACTCCCCCAATACCATCCGTGAAGGGAACATCCAGCTGCTTCTGCACACGTGCAGAAAGTCCCCGCAGCCTCTTCTGCCATTCTTCTGCCTCTTCACCAAACAAATTTTCTTCATTTGATTTCACATCTCTCATGATCTTTTGTGACTCGGCAATCCATTTCTCCGATTGATCTTTGTCCATCATAACCATGGGATAAGATAAAAGTAGGAGCAAAGCATCCTTCTTCCTGCTCAACACCTTACATTTCTTCCTCACCTCCTTATTTTGTTTAAACTTTTTACGGTTTTGATACCAAAAATCACAGTGTACCTTCCGACGTGCTCGCTGGCGGAACTGCAAATTTGGAAGCTTGCTGTCTGAACTCTGCACTTTGCCACTGGATGTGGTGATAACTGCAGAAGTGGCAGTTCGATCATCAGGGTCTGGTTCACTTGACTGAATATCAGAAGCTACGCCCTGTTTGCCATTTGGATCCTTCCCATTCTCAATCTGCAAATGCCAACGATCAATTCTTTCCACATTGCAATAGCTTGAGAGCATCATACAAGTACGATAATTTCTATAGATATCATTTTTTATATTTTTTCGAGTCGGAAGAAAAGAAATTTGAACCCAATTCCTTAAATATTATTTTTTTGAAAAAAGAAAACAGAGTAAAGTGTTTAAATGTACATACGTACTGTGCAGTGGGCTGTATATCAGGATTCGAGAATGTGTTCATTTTCTGAACTTCAATTTTGAATGGCGGTCCTCTGCTCCCATCTTCGTTCTTATAGAAAGCGACCTCATCGCCTGCCCTGAGACCCTTTTGGGAAACGAAGTGAAACCAGCCTGAGCTGAGAGTTGGTTCGGGATGGAGGCGATCAGGTCCGTGCGGTTGAATGGTGAGTTGGAACTGCCAGGGGTGCCCCATGGCATCCTCTGCTTCAAACTCCATGGAAGGATCAGCTCCATCAGGTAAGTTAAAAGCCTTCAAACTTTCAGTTGGAAACGAGAGCGTCTCGCTTAAATCGCTGTCCTGTAGGAGCTTCCTGAAGAGCTGCATGAATATATCAAAAATCCAATTCAAAAAGAGAGAGCCGCATCTGTTGTTTTGCTGCTCACCAGGGGCAGCAACTCCAACAAAAAATAATTTAGTCAATGAGATGAACTGCTGTTCCAGGAAAGTGCGGGTTCTCCTCCCCTGTTTTTCCAGGCTTTATCATTCATCAGGTTTCAGTCGGGGTCCCTCCCAAAACACACCAGCAAACCATAATGCCGAAAAGAACCCGTCAAAAAACTGCTCTTCTACTTCAAATCTTTCACAAATTATCGAACCAACAGAATATGACAAGAGAAACCGAAGATGGGAGAGATTTGAGAAAACAGGGGAATGAACCTTGAAAGAAAATTGAGAAAAAAACGATTGAAAACTCAGGAGAAAGTGGAAGAGAAAAGTAAAAGAGAGAAGAGAAGGAGAATTGGTCATAATGAAATGTTTTGAAACAAAAAATATCAACTAAATTTCAGCGCCGTGCTGGACGGGTCCTGAAACAGTCGTCCATGACAAATGCAGAACACTAGAACGATCAAACAAAATCTGATACGACAGTCAATTTCATTTGGTTTATCTAACAAGTATCAGTAACTTCTTGAATACGAATTAGAATATTGTATTCAAGTGAAGTTACTTGACGCAAGGGATAATAATATCTGCAGAATTTGAAGGTTTTTTATTGAAGAACATGTTGACTGAAAACGAACCGAAAAGATTTAGGTAATTTTTTTTTATCTTTTTTTATATTGGCCTGGGCAGTTAACAATGGTCACTGTGGACCTGGAGAGCTCGTACAAAGTTGAACTATTTTCAATGGGCCTGATGCTAGCCCTGTGGGCTCTTTAACCCAAAATTATTTTAAATGGGACTCCCCTTTAAAATTATCCATTTTTTTACCCTTTTTTTTAAACTATTTTTACATCGAGATAACAAAGTTTTTTTAAATCTTTTGAAGTAAAAATATTTTTAAGAAGTCAAATTAATTCCATGAAAAGCACCATTGCCATGCTAATGATAAAAAAATAATAATAAAAGGAGCATCAAGTTTTAGATAACAAATGCAAGAAATTGTAATCAAATCCTTATATTTTCAATCAAAAGAAAATCTTAACTATTAATAGTTGATTAATTGTCACTAATTAAAACATCATTCGTCATTTTATGTGACATAATATTGACGTGACATGTTAATTTAAATACATGATACGTTCATCCTTCACATCACGATCAATGTCACATAATATAAAATGACAAGTGACGTTTAAATATGATAATTAATCAATTATTAATCATAAAAAATTATCGATTATAAGAGTATGTTTAACTTAAAGTAAAAATATAATGACTTCATTGAACACGAGAATATATACTTATTTGAAGTTTTAAAATAATTTAAGAATTTTTTTAACATTATACCAAAACAAAAAATTGACGGTCCATAAATATTACCTTTTGAGTAAAATATCAAGATTTAAAATTTAAATTTTTCTTTTTCGTCACATTCTACTCAATAATAATAAAAATATATAATTAAAAAGGAATCAAAACAAAACATGTGTGTGAACCTATAATGATTTGGCGAGTATTATTTTAAATTGTTACCAAATTTCTTTGAAATTTAGAAAGTTTAATTTAATTTAAATTAAAAAGTATCCAACATTTTTTCTTCCATTTAGTCACATTTAAAATAGGAAAAAAAACTTTTTATAAAATCATTATAATATACAACTTGTTAGAATGTCACTTAATGTTGGTTCATTATTGATGATTTCTTTTTTAACTTTGGTAGAGCATGATTGATTGAAAACTAATCACATTCAATTCAATAATTTAACTAACAAAACTCATTTTTTCAAGCATATTTTATTATGCTGCAAGGACATTCGAACTAACTCCTAACTCAAGCATTTGTCTAGCATTCTAATTAAATCACCCAGTGGCATCATTTACCAAATTTAACAACCATTTTTTTCTCTTTGTTGAACAAATTATTAGACTACGAAACATCAACATATATTAAATAAATAAATAGGTATTAAAATATGATGATAATATTGACTTTTAATTAGTCACAATTTAGAATGGGTCTTAGCTGTGTGACATATTCGACAGTTTTTACGAAAATTAAGACCAAAACTTTAATGTATTTTATATGAAAATTTTAAAATATTTTATAATATAGATATTCAATATTTTTTAAAATGAAAAAATAAAAATTTATGAACGATAAATTTATAATAAAAATATATCTAAAAAATGATTAAAAAAAAGAACGAGCCTATGTGAATCAGAATAGATAAATTGGGATTTACCTAGTCGAATGCAGCAAAATCAATGGAGTTATTGATTCTTCTATTCTCAGTCTTTTGTCATCATCTTCTTCTTCGTTTGAAATCTCTTCTTCGTTTGAAGCTTTATATTCTATTATTCTTCTTTAATTTTAAATTAATAGACTTGACTTTTCCTTCTGTATTGCTTGCTTTCTCTCTATGTCTGCCGACGCTCCATGGCCAATGGAAAAACCAAGTTGATTTGGCTGGTTGGGGAAGTTTCTTCAATGGAGCATGACAACAAGCTTGGTGAACGTGGAAGCTGGCTATAGGGCGAAGTGTACATTTCACGACAAGCACATGGTTGAACCTACAATTCTTTTTTCTCCAAGGTTGTCAACGTCGTAAGATCGTGACACTCATGTGCATGGAAGCTGGCTACACCATTTGTCTGCACTCAATCTCGTCCCCACCTTTTGAGTTTCTGTTTTTTTCTTTTCCATTTTCTTCCCTACCAAACAGTAAATGACTAAACGCTTTCCTATAGATTGTTCCTGCCCCAGCTCATAACGCATCAAATTTAGGTGTTGCCTTTCTTTTCCATCTTCCTACTGCCTTCATTTTTTTTTCTTTTGTGGTAGGTATAGTTTATGGAATAATTTTCCTTTATTTTAGTAGACAAGTAGGACTGATTCAGAAGAATATTTCTTTTCTATATGTGGAGGTCTTGCACTCTTGGTCCTCCAAGTGCCCACCAGCAAAACCTGCTTGCTGCTACTGATCTGATTCTCTCCTCCATCTCCTTGTCTCTGTCTGAATGTCCAAGCTCCTGTCCAAAAAGCAGCCTTCTGCTGCAGTTCCATGGATAGAGAAAGAAAAATACCAAAAAAACAAAGACCCTTACTTCAAGTTCTTGGTCAATCCCCACTTTAGATACACTGCCTTGCTTTTCGTGTTTCTCTCCTTATGGTTTTTGTTTCAAGTGTTTTGGTTCCCACCGACAAAAACCCATTACGCCGCCACCACCGTTTCCGCCGTCACCACCACCACTTCTTATGGAGTTCATCAAAATCCCAGAACGACGGTAACATTGTCATCTCCCAAATGCAACGGGAGGGTGTCAGTCTATGTGTATAATTTGCCTGAGGAGTTTAACGTCGGCCTCCTGCAGGATTGCAGCCACTTGAATGTCTACACCAACATGTGTCCCCACGTGGCTAACCGCGGTCTAGGCCAGCCGCTGGACAACATGGAACTCGGCTTGAGCGACGTTAATCCCTGGTTCGCGACCCACCAGTTCATAGCGGAGATGATTTTCCACGCACGTGTGGAGAACCACCCTTGTCGCACGTGGGATCCTTCGAAGGCCACTCTCTTCTACGTGCCTTTCTACGGTGGTCTCCACGTGTCCAGCAAATTCCAGGAGCAGAATCACACTACTCGCGACGCGTTAGCCGTTCGATTGGCTGACTACCTGGAAGACCAACCCTCCTGGCGAGAGCATTACGGTAAGGACCACTTCATTGCTCTGGGGAGAACCTCATGGGATTTCATGAGAACCGACAGTGGGCCCGATTTCGGTGCGAACTGTCTTCTAAATCTGCCACCTGTGAAAAACATGTCGGTGCTGACCGTGGAGAGGAATCCCTGGCAAGGCTCAAACCAGCACGGCATCCCTTACCCTTCCTACTTCCACCCGTCCACGTCAGACCAAATGTTGACATGGCAGCGTATGTTACGGCGATCAAATCGGCCCTACTTGTTCTCCTTCATCGGGGCCCCACGAAAGGGGGTGGACAAAGCAGCCATCAGGGACGAAATGATAAAGCAATGTGCGGAGTCCACCCGCTGCAAGCTGCTGCAATGTAACCATGGAAACCCCAAGTGCTACAACCCAGCCGAAATCTTAAGAGTGATGAGAGAATCCCAGTTTTGCCTACAAGCCCCCGGCGATTCCTTCACGAGGAGGTCAACGTTCGACTCAATTCTTTCCGGTTGTATACCGGTGTTCTTTTCCCGGCACACGGCATACACGCAGTACGCTTGGTTTTTGCCTGAGAAGACGTCGGAATATTCGGTTTATATCGATGAACAAGGCAACGGAAGCAAAAGGATAGAAGCGGAGCTGTCGAAGATATCGGAAGAAGAGGTGGAGAGAATGCGAGCTACGGTGATTGATATGATTCCAAGGCTCACTTACGCGCACCCTAATGCGAGCAGTACCGATCTCGGGTTCGAAGATGCTGTCGACGTTGCGCTTGATGCCCTGGCACACCATGTTAGGACCAAAATATAAGACGATGACGCCATTGCTGAGTCTAGGTAGTTAGCTTTAGAGTAAGGATGGAGCCAATAAATTCAAAAAAAGAAAGTGTGTATAGAGGTAGTTGTGAATTAATTTCAGTTTGTACGTGGCTTACACGAGTGAACATGCATACCCACGTTCTGATCTTTGATCCCAGATAGCCTTTGCATGCATGAACGATATCGGCTATGAATTGCACACAATGCTTTGAAGCTTGACTTATGCAGTGGGGACGAAGAAAAGTCCAATGGGGATCGGGGACCCTCGCCTTCATCTTTAGATTTTGACATCCAAGGAAGACATTCTTGTATGTTTTGGTGAAATATATTTGGCGTCGACAGATCAAAATGTTTTTATTTTCGGTGATAATTCGAAAGAGTGATATTATTTCGATTAATATGTACTTATTGCATTTTTTGTAAAAATGTCACGAATTTTAATATAAAAAAGGAGATATGTCTTAAATTAATCAATAAAGAATTAATAGATTCATGATTAATGATGATCTAACTTTTTTTAATATCTACGAGAGTTAACAAAATTAAAGTAGATTCAAAAAAAAGTAAAATTCTTTTACTTGATATGTAAATTTTTATTATGCCATAGCTTTCAGTTTTCAAATATTTAAAGTATTCAAAAACAAAACTACACTAATACTACCCCTTCCTAAGCTAAAACTAGAAATTTAAACTTCAAGTCCCCGCATTGTATGATGTCCCCTCTCCCTAGGATTAATTGACAAATCTGCTAGGATTAAATCTCAGCAATCACAACTAAATCTCCTCAATTCAAAAGTAAAAAATAAAAATCAAAACTCTCACCTAAATAATTTATCTACCCATTTGAATATAAATTAAAATCCGAAACAAATTTGAAATATTTACTCAAATTTTGTGCAAATCAACACTCAACTGTATTTGATCGCTTAATTATTGATTAGTTTCCTAATGTTTAAATTACTTAATAAATATCTTTGATTTAACCCCAAAAAAAAGAAATTAAAACGTTAATTAGCGTACATGGTTCGTCTTTTGTGAGATTATTGTTACTAGTAACTTTGGTTTCATTAAATTTTAATTATTCAATTGTTAGTATTTCTAGTTTTATATATTTTTTCTGGAGAAAGTACTTTGTTTTTCTCTCTTATTTCTAAGAGAATTACGAAATTAATTTATTTCACTATAAGAAGAAGAAGTGAGACAAGGATGAATACTTATATTCCAATGTATTAAGGTGAAACGTCGTTATGATAAAATAAAATATACTCCTAGAATAAATATTTGGAGCAACTTTAATTAGGATAATACATTAATTAAATATCCTTAATTATGATTATAAATTTTAGTATTCTAATTACCATTTATTGTTATCCCTAGAAAATTCATATTTTAATTGTGTTTGTATTTATTGTTGAAAAACACTAACATTATCACTCCTCAATTGGCTAAAATATATCTTAGTCATCACTCATTACCCTACATAGTAATATTTTTTTTGGCTAATCACCATATATAGTCTACAGTATAAATTTCCAAAAAATGCATTACTCATGACTTACCAAGAAACATGCATAATTCATGGGTGACCTTTTTCTAAAAAAAAATAGATATAATATTTTAAAAAAAATTTCATTTTTTCATCTCTTTTTTTAGATATTTCAAAATAATTTTCTTTTTTTAAAATACTTCATACTCTTATTTTTTTTATATTACAAAATGTTAAATATTTGTATTATTAAAAATTTCAAAATTTAACGTAAACTCTAATAAAATCTTAATTTTTATGAAAATTAAAACAAAAAACAAATATCTAATTAGTAATTACCACAATTTACCATTATTTTTTTATAAAATATTAAACACCTCGTCACTAAATCAGAGCTGTACTTTTGATTTTCCCCTGCCAGTTGCCACCATGGTGGTTTTTTGTCTCTGTTTTCGAGGCAAATGTTTTCAGGTGTAATGGTTTCCTCCTTGCTGCTGCTTCCGGCGCATTCCATTCTAACACCAAGCAGAATGCTCCACGCTTGCTTCACACTCTTCTTTTTCCAGGCAATGAAACGTCTCAAAACATTCTGATTCCCTCTGGACGCTTTGCTTTCCTAATAAGAAAAAAAAATATTTTTGTCAGAGCTACAAAATTAAAGTCTTGACGTTTAGAAGTTCAAAGGTATGTTCCCATCTCTGGGTCGATCACCAGGGGAGACGAAGTGCATTGATATTGTTGGTTTTAAGAGTTGAGATTTACTATGTTTCTTTCTTTTTTTTTAATGATTTTTCAATAGGGTTTTGGAGACACAATTGGGGTTCCAAAGATAGTAGCTTTGGGAGTTTGAAGGAAGACAATGGGGAGGAAGAACAGTAGGAGAAGGAAGGAAGACATAGCAGAAGATTACTGCTTCTTTTGCAAAGATGGTGGGTTGCTCAGGGTCTGTGACTATAGGTGAGTACTCCAAACCCTTAACCCAACTTATTATTAGTACTTGTACAAGCAGGACAGGGTGAACTCTTAATCGACGTTTCATTCATTTATTTATGTATAAAGGATACACGGTAACATGGCTGAGTTGGAGATGGTAGTACCATTTTTGCCTCTGCACAGTGGCCCAAGGGTAGATCTTTTTTTTTTTTTTAATAAAAAAAATTATAACTTCTACTGTTCTACACCCAGAGCATTTGTCTCAATCCATGTATAGTCCCTCTCTTCAAAAGAGCAAAGTTGGAATCTTCCCCTTCCTCCAACTCCTGAATAAAAGATATTTGTATACTTGGGGTGTAACGGTGTTATCGATAATGATGGTTGTTATTATCAAATTATTGTGATTAGAGCAATCTTAATCTGTTTAAAATCAAACTTTTGGCTTGCTCAAAAATTTAGTATAATGTCCGGTGGCGGCCTTTCTTTTCGAAAACTTCATTATTGCAACTTGATTCTTGCAGGAAGTGTCTCAAAAGTTTTCATCCTCAGTGTGTGGGAAGGGACGATTCTCTGTTGCAGACTGAAGAACGCTGGTTTTGTGGTAAGTGTTTGGTAGCCAAGCATACTTTATTGTTTAGCTGTTTATGTTTTTCTGCTTTAGTTGTGAAAGCAAAAAACAAGTTCCAATAGTTGCAATCAAATGGAGTCTTGATGTTCCGTCCCAATTCAAAATGGTGTGAAAGAAACAACATTGAATGGTTCATAGAAACCCTTGCCCTATTCACCTGTATTAACTTAAACATGTTATGGGAGTTACCTTGATAAGATAATTAAATCTTGCAGTCTTGAATGATTAGAGAAGTTAATTTGCCATTCATCACTGCTAAATTATGTCTCATGTAATTTCTTGCTTCAACTAAATTTTAACCTGACGCTATTGCATTTGACAACTAAATATTGGAGAAAACATGTTATAGTGTTCGCTAAGCACACTAACATTTTTACATATTTTCAATCCTTTCTTAGGATGATTGGAGGTTTAAAACAGAGTAACAGGCTGGACTAATTAAAAATTATCAGAGTTTTTTTTCTCTCTTACTCCGTGATGCATCATTAGTAGAACATATTGTTTTGGCTAACATGGTGTATCTATCTTTCAGGTTGGCACTTTTGCTTCATTTGCAGTAAACCTGCCAAATTTCATTGCTTTTCTTGTCCATCTGCTGTATGCGGGCGCTGTCTTTGTGATGCTGAATTTGCGCTAGTCAAAGGCAAAAGGGGTTTCTGCAATACATGTTTAGAGCTTGTTCTGCTTATAGAAGACAAGAAGGATGCCAACTCCAATGGGGTATGGGTTTTTTCATATTAAGTTCTGTGAAAATTTATTTAGAACTCCTTGTGAGATTCCATTTCTTTTGGGATATATTACTTATTCAGTTTTGAAGGAAGAATAGCGGTGTAAAATGACTTTCTCAATAAGTCACTACCATGTTCTTTTCAGCCAAAGATCATTGATACATGTTAACTCTGAAATTCAGTTGATAAAGTGCTACACTATGTTTTTTTAGGATTTCATTTCTTGTCTGGGCAAAATGAACTTGAGGCTTCTTACTCCTGGTTCTTTGACTGACCAAGTTGATTTGTAGGTGAAGGTAGATTTCAATGATAGAGAAACATATGAATTCTTTTTCAAAGGCTATTGGAAGTTGGTGAAAGAAAAGGAAGGGTTAACTTCAGAGCAAGTGCATTCTTCATATCAATTGTTGAAGGATGGCAAAAATTATGATTTTCAAGCAAACAACAATTATGGAGAAGAAGATGCCAGTGACTTTGAAGATGATGATCAGCTTACTGTTTCTGAGGATGATGATTTGAGTGATAACCAAGTGCAACGTAGGAAAAGAAAGGGAGCAAAGCTTTCTCTGACTAACAGAAAGGGAAAGTCAAAGAAAAAGGAATTCCTCGGATGGGCATCAAAACAACTTACTGAATTCCTCACATCTGCTGGTAAAAGTGTGATGCAAGAATTGTCTCAGCATGATGTGGCTACCATAGTTACAGAATACTGCAGAGAACACAAGCTGTTTGACCCAGAAAAAAAGAAGAAAGTTATTTGTGATGAAAGATTGCAGTCTCTTTTGGGAAGGAAATCAGTCAACAAAAATGGTATTTATAAGCTCCTGGCAGTTCACTTTGCGGAGAACTGGGAGCGATCAGAGGATTCAGTAGGATTTAGTTCAAAAGAAGATGATGATAATATATTAGTTCCTTGTAAACGGCAGCGAAAGTCTAGCCCTGATCAAAAGTTTGAGGAAAAGGAAATAGCTCTGAATCCACGGCAAGGCTATTTGGCAGCCATAGTTTCTGCAAATATAAAGCTTGTCTATCTGAAAAGGAGTTTGGTACAGGAGTTATCAAAACAACTTGATACATTTTATGGTAAAATGATGGGGAGTTTTGTGAGGGTAAAGTCAGACCCAAATGACTACTTGCAGAAAAATTCTCACATGCTAGTCCAAGTTAAAGGTAATTGTTTAAACAACTGTTAATCTCTTTAAGCAAGTGATAGCATCATATCCTGTTAATTAATTTGTACTTTTAACAAAGAAACTGAGGAAATCTTGTCTATCTATAATGCATACAACTCGTGGTAGTTGCTCCTCTAATTTGATGTCAATATTTCTTACCCATGTCCTGGTAAAACGAAAGAAAAGTGAAATGTATTTTGGGAGTAGTTCTCATCCAAGTTATCGCTTATCGGATATGCTTGGGGCATAATTTTCCCCTTAAGAGGCATTTACAATATTTCTGCACTACAGCAGGTGCCATATGGGAAAAAATTCAAAGGGAGACTGAAGAGAAATAGCAACCCTAGGAATTATGTAATCATTTTTGGAAAAAAAAAATCTGGCTTCTTGTTATTTTTTTATCTTTACTGGTATGGTTTACCCTTACTGCTTCAACAGTTGATGTTCTTAACGTGGAATGCTATTATTTTATATATTTATATCTAAACTTTCTTCGAACTTAACTGATCAGCCTTCACTTCATAGTGTTATTTCGCTTCTTCTCAGGCATAAAAGAAACTTCAAAGGAAGGTATGAATTCTATAATTCTCTTGCAAGTTTCTAACATGGTGAATGATGTTCCTGTTTGCAAGCTATCAGATGATGACTTCACTGAGGTAATTATAATGTTAATTTTTTGAATTTTCCTTTTCTTTTTATTGGTCCTTCCATCTTTTTCTTTTGAAACAGGAACTACAGAATCTTAATAGTTAGCAGGTCGGAATCAACTGGAATAAAAAGTTTCTTATCCCTGACAACTCGTCTATAAAATCTTGAATTTTCAAGTTATATCAATTTAATTTCAGGTGTGTGAGACTTGCTGCGGTAAAATTCTTGGAAACCAAGGACAGGTTTCTGTAAGGATTGGTTGTTCACAATTGGTTAAAATAGAAATTTCTTGGATATGAATTCTAATGATCCATTTCTGAGAATGATGTGATTTTCTTGGAGATTTTTTATCATTATCTTCATTTACAAATTGCCAGATAGTGGACTTACCTGTCTAGTCCTGTTTGCAGGAAGAATGTGAGGATTTATATCAGCGAATGAGAAGTCACCGGCTTGAAAGGCCAACTGTTGTAAGTTCTTAATTTTTACATTATTTTTAGGGACTTGGAGCTGGTTTACAGGATCACTTCTTGAAAATCAGCTATAATATAGATATATTTTCTTCGCATTTCTTTATATACTGTGTGGGCTAGAAGCTTCCTTCAAACACTGATGACATTTATGGTGAATAATGATAGCATTGTTACTTAGCTATAAACGATTAGTGTTTACAGTTTTTGTTTCTGCAAGAAATTTTGCTTTCACAGAATGAACACCAAATGGGGTTGTGGCATCTTATTATGGACCAAGTTAAACATCTGCCAAGGAAATTTATCAATCTATTACCATTATATTTGTATCATATTTCCATTAACATGTTTCCTTCAAGATATGTGAGAGTATTTTCATATTTTTACTACTTTCCATGCTTGAACATAATTATGCACTATCCCTTGAAAGGAGAAGGGGAATGAAAAGACAGAAACAAAAAAGAGCTGCATACCTTCTATGAGAAAATGACAATTAGTGAGTGAAATTAAACATAAAAATATATTAACCTGAATGCCTTGTTTGACAGGTGGAGCTTCAGCAGAAAGCCAGAAGCCTACATGAGGATATAACCAAACATGTAGGTATTCTGAATTCAATATCTAAGAATTATGAGTTTTGAATTATATTATAAGTGCGGGGATGCACGAGGCAATACCTGCGGGGATGCACGAGGCAATACCTTCTAGATGGATTTTAGATATGTTGAGAATTGATGGTTGATTATTGAGTATTGTAAACTATGTTCAGTGGGACTTCTAAGCATTCTTTCTGTTTGCTCTTCTCGTCTTGGATGTTATAATTAACTTTTTACTTCTAACTTTGCTGCATTGTCCTGAAAAAATGTACAAGTGGATTATAAGGGAGCTGGTTCTATTGCAAAACCAGATCAATCGGGCAAATGAGAAAGGATGGAGGAGAGAATATCCTTTGAGAATGTTTCACGAGTTTATATAGTAAGATATACTGAAAGTTATCAATAATTAATCAGTATTTCAATGGGTAGGATACTCAACAACGATGATGTATCGTTCCCAAGTCATCCATTTGTTCGGACATTTTCTAATATGCTTTTGCAATGCCAAATATGAACATAATACTAGCTTCATTTTTACTTTCTCTAGATATCTTAAAGCTCACTCTCACACACGATACGCCCCTGCCAGTTTTGGTTTGTTTATTTATCAGGTACTATACATATCTCAAGAAGAAGATAAAGTAACCCTTAACCTTGTTATTTTTTTACACTCTCTGAGTACACGGATAGAATGCTACTGCTTCAGATGCCTGCAGAACAATCACGCTTAATACATGAGTTTCCAGAAGTGGTTGCTGATGTTGCAGAGCTTGAACCTGCCTCTGAGAACTCTCCCAGAGAAGACAAAGAAGAACATAAAACCTTGTCAGAGTCAACCCTCAGATCGGTTTCTAGAATTCAAACAAGTATCTTGGAGAACAATGGAGTTTCTTGTTGCCGGAATGATGGAATGGATGCTGCAGGTATGATGTGCTTATGATTTGCACTTTGTTTCTGTCATAATTTCTACAGTTCTATTTCTGTCCAATGATGAAATAGATTTCGAACAGTAAAGGTGAAATCTAATTTCAATCAGAATAGAGCATTAATGAGTAATTCTCATCTAACTTGTTCTTGTGCTGTTTTGTTGTCGTGTTATCCCTACGTTGTCATCTGTAGTTATTTAATTAACTGATTCCACAATTGCATCCAAAATCAATGGTCAAATGTAGATTTAACTTTTTGAGTATCAAGGAAATTAAATGTTCCTACTTTGCATGCAATAGCAGGGGAAGACCCAAATTCTTGTCCTTCACATGAATGATACCATTCAGGGCAGCTGGTGCCCTGAGTTTCAGGAAAAATATACCAAGCAAATCCTAAGTTAATTCCTTTTGATGAAATTAGAGATCAAACAATCTTGAATAAACTTCATCCCCGCATGGAAAGTTGCCATCATTGAGCAGAACCTTAGAAGTTTACTGCTATGGACTGAAAAAATTGTGTCATTTAATCACAAAAAGATATCTGATAAAATTTTTCCATGTGCAAGTTTATATGATTTTTTTTTTTTGACAAAGCTGTTGGAGCCACTAATGAAAAGCTTTTGGTGTACCTATTCCAGAAGAAAAGCAGCAACCCACGAAGGCATTTATTTCTGATGATCATTTTCATCACTCTAAATTTATTGCTACTAGAGTTGAAGGTGATAAAACAGAGAGGAACCAACATTTTCAAGAAGTAAAACAGAGCTGTCCCGGGACATCTGTTCCTCAGGTACTGCCACAACAATTCTCTGATGGCCAAACCAATACTGTTTATCAGGAAAAGCAACATAGTGATACCGCTGGGGAAAAGGTAAATCAGCCAGCAAACATTGGTGAAGTGGAAAAGCAAGTTGAAGTGATTGTGTTGAGCGATGATGAAAAAGATGCCAAGTTTACAGTGAGCCAGCAACCATTCGAGGATCAGAATTGGTATTGTATCAGTCCAACTGGTAACATCAAGGGCCCTTACTCTATGACAGTGCTTAAACAATGGAGCGAGTCTAGCTGTTGCCAGTTACAATTTAAGGTTTTGAAGAGTGGTCAGAGACCAGAAGAGGCAGTTCTTCTGACAGATGCTATCCCACGGATTTTCAACAGCTAGTCAAGGAATACCGTTTGCTGTCCGGAAGACATGCTGAAGGCACAAAAGAGCAATGCCGGCGACAGGAGCATAGAACAATAACTTCTGCTATGAACTTCAAACATTTTTGAATGCTTATAGTTTGTTTTAATTAAATTACCAAGTTTTTGTAAATGAAGCAGTATTCTGAAATACAGACAGACCCCTTTTGGTGGAAAAAGAAATCCTATGACTAAAGTTTGGGTCTGAATTTGTACACTGGCATGGGAATTGGGATCCTTCTCTTTGCATTTTCAGCAGCTTCCATCCTAATTTCTTCAAATTTTTTTAAAAATTTATTCATTCATTTCTTGGTGTAATGGAAAGATCATGGAGATTAGAGTGGGGAATGAAAGATACTCTTCCTAAAATAGTCAAAATATAATAAATGATCAACTCTTATTCAAACTGATCTTCATGTTTACCTACATAAAAATGATGAGCAAAAGAAAACTTTACATAAATAGACATATAATTTTATTCAAATTATTCTGATTTCTATGAATCATAAACTATACTTTCTATGTCTTTAAATGTTTATTTCCTTTCTGGGTTTTTTCAAAATTTAACAAAAAATTCATTTTTAGACATTAAAAAATAAAACCGAAAAAATGACACATGTAGAGGAAACTTTTTTTCAAGTCCTTATAATAATTATAATATAGTATCAAAAACAAACTTCCAACCATTGATGACATCTAGAATCTCAGATAAGATCATGTTAGAAGAAAAGATTATTTTATTTTTTAAATTAAAATAAAAAAAATTGCAATTGGTAGAACAGTTGACTTAAACTAAATTCAAAGTATCCTTCGCCATGTCTTGCTATTGTGGGGATTCCATTCTCATTTTCATTTTTTTTAATATTATACTTAGTAGTATAAGTTAAGGGATACCTAGTTGAGACACCATGTCATGTTGCCTATTATTTTAATATTAACAAATTCTATTAAACTTAAATATAAAATTATATCCCTTCCTTATAAATTTATTTTTTAAAAAATATTAAATATTTATATTATAAACAAATTTAAAAAATTTTAAATATAAGAAAGTTACTATTTTTAGACAAGGGCACGTTTGTTGAGTCCAACTGGCAAGCCACATTCTCAGTCTACGACAACCTGAAAAAGGTGGAACAAAAAATTGGACTCTATATGACACGTGGCGACTAGATAACAGAGAGTATACTCTGTTTCCTACACTCGAACAGACCACTTTCTTTCCACTACTCGCACGTTCTTACAATCTTTCCGTCGAATCCGGCGCGTGCGTTTGTATATCTTTGCAACTTACTAAAACCTGAACTTCATCAAAGAACACGACAGCCAACCAACATTAAATAAATAAATAAATAATATTTAAAATGCTTCACTGTATTCTATCTCTCTTTCTCAATATTTTTTACCCATTTTTGTTTTAATGGCAGTGGTTTGATTTTGCTCTTTGTTTCTTTGATTCTGAGGAATTTCTGCTTTTGCTTTCAAATTACGACATCGTTTCTTTACATTGCACAAGTTGGCTACTTTAATACATATTCTCTCTTTTTCATTCTTTGCTTTTAGCTGTAGACTTTCTCATGTTGTAAATCATAGCAAAAAGAAAACTTTTTTTGGTTTGGGCATCTCTGTATCTCTCTATCTCTATCTGCGTTTTGGGTTTTGGGTTTTTTCCATGCAAGAGATGAAGGCTTTCAATTGTGTAAGTGTTGTTTAGAACTCTCTGCTTCAATAATTTGTGGGTTGGAAGTTGCTTTTCTTTTCTTTCATTTTCGTGAGTGTCTGGTTCAATTTTTTTTCTTGTTTGGTTTTTTTGTTGTTTCAGTGTCCAATGAACTTGAAAGGGTCTTTTGGTTTTGGTGGAGCATGAGGAATGGTGATTGTTTTTGCTTTACTTGTGATTATAATTTGAGTGATTAGAACTTAATAAGTAGGGTGGATTAGTTTGCTGGTCTTGATTGTTACCATCATGCTTGCTTTTTTTAGCTCCTGCTTGGTTGCTGAGAAAAGAAAGAGCTGTGATAGAATCTGTAGCATGTTGAGTCCTACTGTTACTGTTGTTTTATAAATGTGAGAAGCCTATTTGGTTTGTTTCATGATTCAAATTTGAGTTCTAACTTTCTTAGTTGATTTTCCTTCCTGGTGTTTTAGCTGTGACAAAAGTATGTGGTGATTCTTCTGCTTTTGAGTTTGATTTAATCTGGTACAGAATCTTCGGTGAACTTTTGTAATCCACAGTTTGGTTGGAGAGATGATTGCAGAGAACAGAGGATATTGAATTTCGAATATTTTATTATGTTTTTTTTTCTAATTATAATGACTAAAACTGACTGCAATTTTAATTTGAATGGAGATATTTGCACGAGTTTGTCATTTTTTATTTGGATTGCGTTGTTTTTTACAAAGCTATTTGAATGATTTGACCTGTGACTTGCCTGATTTTCAGTTGGTCTCCCTTACTCCTTTTATTATTTCCTCATTCGGTATATGGTGACTGATCAGGGATTTCTTAGTTATTTTGTCCTTGCTGTTCTATTCGAGATTCTAATCTTGTCATGATATGGAATATAATTATAATTCTTCTTGCTTGAATGTTCCTTGCAGGCTTCTGTAGTGTTGGATCCAAAGACTAGGTCATGCCTCTGCCGTCTTTTTGTTGTAGCTTCTTTGATTTGTGCTGCCTACTTCATTAGTGGTGCATTTATTGCTAAGGAATACAAAGATGTACGTATTTCTGCTTTTGTAATTCTTTGTTGAAATTTACTTTTGCCTTTTCGTGAGGCAGAATGGTATGGTGTTGAGTCATTTCTTTCATGGATTTTGATTTGTGAAAATGTTCCTTATCTTGGAATTTGGAACTGTGTTATACTCAGCATTGCTTAAGGCATGTGAAAAAGTAGTTAAAACTAACACGGAATTCTTCTAACACTGTCAACTGCCCACGACAGTGTTATAAAATTCGAGCTCTATTCCACTTGTTGATGCATGAAAGTGCAATATCAGATTGGTTGGCAGAAGAAATAAAGGAAATCTATAGAAACTTTCCACGGTTGGGAAAAAATAGTATGTCCACATGCAAAGGTCTTCACTATGTCAGATGAAGTTTAAAACAGCTTTAATTAAATTTAATCATGCAACTGTTTGTTGAACTCAATCTAAGTTCCATGCTTTGGTTTTGCCAAACCTTTATTTTGTTTTCAAACTTCATGGTTCAATGTGACTTCAACTTTTCATGGTTGTCTTCTCTTGAAACACCATGTCTGAAAGATTGTTTGCTGAGATTATCTCTCTGTAAATCATGTATACAGAGGTTATCGAGATGGGAGGTGATTAATATGCTACAGAATTCAAAATCCAATATATGCAAGGTTGGTTTTCTTTAGGCAAAGAATGTTTTGTTTTAGAATAAAATGTCAAGTCTTTTGGAATGTATTGTGATATATGATTTTCTATAAATCATTTTTTTCCCATACAGATTCGATGCAGACCTCCGGGAAGTGAGGCATTACCTCAAGGAATTGTGGTCAAAACATCAAACTTGGAAATGCGACCTTTATGGAGTGACACTCTGAAGAATGTACTGTTTTAATACTTTACGTTGAAAACTTTCTAGACTAAGATACACAGTCACTTTCATGTGCTACTTGATTGATCTTATTTGATTGTCTTATATGTTTATACTGCAATTTCAGGGCAATCTAGAGCTGTCATCAAACTTGTTAGCCATTGCTGTAGGTATTAAGCAAAAGGAAATTGTAAATCAAATTGTTAAAAAGGTACATCAACTTCTCAAATGCCTTTTTATTTCAAAATTATATTATTATGTTTAGGCTTAATACTGATCACTAATTTGCAGTTCCCTTCAAGTGATTTTGTTGTGATGCTTTTCCACTATGATGGTGTTGTGGATGAGTGGAGAGATTTGGAATGGAGTGATCGTGCCATACATGTTTCTGCAGTGAATCAAACCAAATGGTATTTTTGTATAGTCCCAAATGTTTATCTTTCTTGTTCACAGCAGCATGCACTTGATACATATGTTGTATCCATGCTAATCAACTGGTAAGATATGTTGTTATAGGTGGTTTGCCAAACGTTTCTTGCATCCGGACATAGTTGCTGAATACAAGTACATATTCCTCTGGGATGAGGACCTTGGAGTAGATAACTTTGATCCAAAACAGTAAGTATTCTACATTTATGCAAAAAAAGTCTGAAATTTTCATAGTCCTTCATGTCAGACTCCTATGCACATCGGCATACATACATACTTAAATGTCAAACTCTGTTTAGCTCGGTCTGTAACATTGTCTGCACACACACTTACTAGAACTGTAATTTAGATTTTGAGTTTAAAATATTCCAAACTTTTTGTAGATATTTGTCTATAGTTGAAGACGAGGAACTGGAGATATCACAACCAGCACTTGATCCAGTTAAGTCAGAGGTGCATCATCAAATCACAGCTCGTAAAAGGAATTCAAGAGTGCACAGGTCAGTTGTGTAAACCATTGGAAGATCCTTTCAAGAACAAGTCCCTTGTTTGGTCTGACCTGGACCTTGTCTACTGGAGAATTAGGTTTTACATGTTAATGAGGGTTCAAAATATTTTCAGTCTAAACTGAAATTCCTATAGTGTAGAACATCCCATTTTGCAAAACAAAAGATGTTTGGTTCTTCAGTAGCACAGTAGTAGATGGACATGTCTCAGTGGTTGCAGAGTAGATTATGCGTTGTTGTAGCCAAGCTGTCACAATTGAGAGCTAAAACGTTCCTTTTAACTGACAAATCTGTCTTATGATCTCATTATACTGTACATGAAGATCAGAGGACGTATATTCCTGTATGTCTTAATGATGTCCTTTTAATCTTGCTAGTTATGACGCTATAAATCCATCTTGTTTGAACAGAAGGATGTACAAGTTTAAAGGCAGTGGAAGGTGTGATGGCCGCAGCACTGCTCCTCCATGTATAGGGTAAACTAGTACTACACAGCTCTTGGATGTTATATTTAAAATTTAATACTTTTCTCTTGTGATATCCTAGTTTATTTTTGAGTATTTGCTTTTCAATTATTTGAAAAAGGAGACATCAGCTATGACCAGACAGAGACAGTTAATGAAATCTGTTTTGCAGTTGGGTGGAAATGATGGCCCCTGTATTCTCAAGAGCTGCATGGCGCTGTGCATGGTATATGATCCAGGTAAGAAATATTTTCGTACGCACTCAGCCATATTGGCTGGAAAACGGCTGAATATTTGACAACTTGAATTCATATTGTTTTTGGCTATTGTTATTGAACTGAGTGCCCCAACAACATTTTGAACTTCGTGGTAAACTGTGTAACATGATGGCAAGGCATTTTTCAAATAAGATTCAGTTACTTTGTTTTCTTCTCTATCTAATTTGTTTCTATCAGCTGAAAGTATTCAAATATCATTACTTCATGTATACTACTTGTGTACCGAAATTGCACAATTTGTTTGATCTTTATAAAAAAAAAGGGTCATTAAAAGAAATCCCATGTATACTTCAGGAAAGTTTAGCCTAAAATTCATATGGAAGCTGCTTGTTTTGGGTGTCTTTTAAGATCTCAATTTGGCTTTTGCTTGTATTCATTGCATCTACCTTAATAGTAACCATTTCTTAATATTCCTTTGCCCTACAGAATGACTTGATCCACGCTTGGGGCCTTGATATGCAGCTTGGTTATTGTGCACAAGTAACTTGTCAAACCATATAGCATCCTTTTCTGATTCTTATGGGCATTTCAGTGATATTTGGACTCACTTTCAGGGTGATCGTATGAAAAATGTTGGTGTGGTTGATGCTGAGTACATAGTTCATTTGGGTCTTCCTACACTTGGTGTTTTGGCTGAAAATGAGGCAAGTCTATATCAAATCCATGTAAATGGAATTCATTGTTAGTTATTGACTGTCTATCATTTTTTTATGATGCAGTTAAATTCTACACAAGTTAACATTACTCAGGGGGAGCCCTCCTCTAACTCAGAAACATTGGTATTTTTTCTGAACATGAATTTGCCTAACACAAATGCTATATTTCCTGAACATGAATTTGCCTAACACAAATGCTTCTTAATTAATAGCACTGTTCACCTTCTTTGAAATTGCAGGCACCATCTGAATCTCATAAAGTTGACAATAGACCTGAAGTGAGGGCCACTTAGACATTACTTTATGAGTTGTTTAACATATTCCATTTTCTCTCATAGTTCAGTATAGATGCATATACATACATATGCAACCATTATAATACATACATACAAATTATAAAATGCTTGCAGGTGAGAAGACAATCTTTCATTGAAATGCAAATGTTCCGTAAAAGATGGGAAAATGCTGTCAAGCAGGACAAATGTTGGGTTGATCCTTACCAACAATCAGTTAACAAAAGCACTCACTAATTATTTGGAGTACAAATGATTTTCTCAAGTATATGTTTTTTTCACAAGGTAAAGGATTGTAAATTTGTGAGGAAATTTGGATGTAAGAGATTGTTATTCATTATTCATTGAATGACAATGTAAATATGTTTTGTTGATTAGAAATGTTGTACTGTTTTACAATTGTATTCTGCAAAGTTCTTGGCCTTTTTATATTGCATAAGCTTCTTTTGTTTCTTTGCTTCACCTTCAATAATCATTTAATTCATTTAGTTTCAAGGGAATAACAGCTTGTGTCAGTTAAAAGGCCCTAGCAATGGAAACTAAAGGAGATTTTTTTATTGTAGATGAATTGGGTTATAATCCTATATATATACAGTTTTGGGTTGTCTTCAATGTTGCATAGTTCTTTCAAAAAAAAAATGTAATACTCTAATAGAAAAAAAAATAAAGATTTTACTTCAAAAAAATCAATACATATGCATTCAACAGCATCCCCATATGCATACTATTGACTGGCAAAGATACACATGCATAAAGATGCAAGTTCGTGTTTGCTGTCTCACCCACTGCTTGAGAGCTTGAAAAGACTCTTGAGAGTCTTGGACGAGGGTCGAGAATACCAACATGGTACCCAGTTCCTCACGAAATCAACCTTTAAAACCATCAAGGCCATAGGTTATCGGTTGTGACGTTCACGAAGGGTCAATCCCTCAATTTTTTAAACCATAATATCATTTAACTAATTATATTATATTAAAATATAATAATTATGTAACTAAAAATACATTTAGTTTATCAGATTATCATGTAGATTTGTATAATCTATTTATACAGTAAGTCTCGTCAAGTATTTAATATTTTTGACACTATTGACCAATTTATAAGGCTTAAACCCTAAGAGGTGTTGATAATCAGATATTTGTATAGATTTCTCATTAAAACCAGAATATCAATAGTCATGGAAACTAAAAAACAGTAATAAAAAAAATTACTTAAATTCCTGAAAACAATTCTAAAAAAACAGTAATATAAAAAAAATAAAAATTACTTAAATTTTTTAAAGTCTGTCACATCTTCAAGAAAGAAGTTTAATATATATAAATTGCACAACTATCACATCTTCAAGAAGGAAGTTTAATATATATAGATTGCACAAAATCATTTACATCCGGCAAAGGTACACATGCATAAAGATGCAACTTCGTGTTTTATGTCTCAAACACTTCACTTGTTAATGGTAAGATTCTTCGATGAGGATTCGATTCCAATATGATACCCAATTCCCTAACCCAACACTCTTTGACAAATGAACAACAGTAATACGGTCGACATTGCATTAATCTAGGAGTTCTCAACTGCTGAATTTGAAGTTGGATAAGCAGAACCTGGCCATGATGATTCTTCAAGTAAAGTCAAGTTCTGAAGAGCAAATGGATAACCAAATCCTAACCATTATGATTCTCTAACTCTGGAGAGCAACTGGCGAATTTGAAGTGAGGTAACTAGGACTTGGCCATGATGATTTTTCAATTAAATTCCACTCCTGGAAAGCAACATTGAAGACACTCAATTGACCGTTTGAGAAAATAATCCATTTACATAGGTTGCACTACGTGGCCGATTAGACGAAGGATATCTTTGGAACTTTAAAGTCTTCCAAGTCTTATCACCTAAACGACATGTGCTAATATCAATAATTCCATCTCTTTTTAAATCCAACTTGGGTAGCTCAATGATCTCCTCAATGAAAGGAGAGTACAAGAAAAAGGAGTAGCATTGAATGGGACTCTCCTCTGGACCTCTCCCAAAGAGAACCCAACCGCATCATTGGCTCAAGGTTCGTAAAATGTACAACTGAATTATCTAATTACAAAATTATAAATGATATTAATGAGATTAATAAAAAGATAACTCTTCGGTTTGAAATTTTTCACTTTCTCAAGTTATAGATTATCAATCATCGATTTTAACACTTGTGAGATGTATAACTAAATTATCTAACTGCAAAAATTATTTATAAACAAGATGAATAGGTTTCATTAAAATATAATAAGGATAACAAGATCTTTAAGAAAATGAAAAATGATAAATAAAGAATAAACAACATAAGAACGAGTGCATTTTCTAACATTTTGTATTCTCAAGCTAAACTAAAAGAAGATAAAAGATGAATTTACAAAATTTCGATTGCACGGAAGTTGCACGACTTCGTGAAAAGGTTAATAGGATAACCAAAATACTTGATTCCAAAAGTAGTGAAGAGCTGAGTGTTTCATGGTGTGATATATACATTATATAATGTCAATTTGTGAAGCAACATTTACAAAGTTTTAAAAGTTCAAATATGCTTTGAAATATTTGAAAAGTTTCCATAATGGTTGGTTTGATGAAGGAAATTCCATTCCAAAAAAAGGAGAAACTAGGATGTAAAGTAATAGTGCCAAAATTGAATTCAATGGATTATTTGCTTTACTCCAAATAATCATTTTGCATTTCTGATTTGTACTAATTATTTCGAGCCTAAAGACACAAAATAGTGACAACAAGTTTCTAATTTCATATGAAAAAGCTTTTAAATAAAGTGAAAAGGTATTGAAAGAGATTAAACGAAAGACGAAAATATTAAAATTCAAAGTAAAAGAGATCATAGTTGCGAAATGATCATTAACCAACAGTGAGAATCATGTAAAGAATAGAGTTTAGAGTGACATGCTTATTATGGTAAACAAAGTTATTGGTATCATTCTGGTTTGTTGATATCATGTTATATTTTGCATAGTTAATCAAACTTTATGCAATATAATGTGAAATTCATATTTGAAAAAAGAAAATAAATGTTTGACTCTTATAATTGGTTTATTATGTTACAATGCAATCACATTTCTTAAAATATGATTGCAAGGAAACTTGCTGGTAAGATTACATTGCAATTTTTGATATATTAAAAAAATTGCTAATTAAAATATTAAAATAAATTTAATATATTATTTTATTATAAATTTTTATATGATATCATCTTTTAAATAAATTTTTCAACAAATAACAAAACAAGGCAAATCCATATTAATATTAATTAGAAAATAAATTTTTGTTTGTTAGCAATTCTGAAAATGTTAAAATATATTGTTATTATTTCTATTTTGAAAATTTCCTAAAAAATTAAAAATAGAGATAATTATTTTTTGAAAAACTAAAAAATAAAAAACTGAAAATAATTTTTTTAAAAAAAATCTGAATGTAAAAAGGAAATAATTTTTATTTTTAAAAGTTTATTAAAAATTATATAGAGGAAATACTTTTAATATTTAAAAGTTTTGAGTATAAAAAAGAATATCTTCTATTTTTTCAAACATTCTAATATATTTTTTATTTTATAGATTTTCAAATTATTTATAATTTCTTTAAAGGAAAATTTATTTCTATTTTTTATTGTTATAGAATTTTTTTTAAAATAATTAAAAATTATTTTTGGGTTTTTTTACAATTTTTTATAATTTCTCAAAATAGAAAAATTATTTTTATGTTTTTGAAATTGTATAGATTTATTTTCAAAATTTTAAAGTTATTTTTATTTTTAAAATTTTTAAAGTGATAAATATAATTAATTAATGAGGTAAAAAAAAGTTTCAAGAACTTAAGAATAAATATTAAAAGGATTTTAATAATTAATTAAAAACAAAATATTTTGATTTTCCTCTAGATCAAAATCATGTTCTTTTCTTCTTCATCACCAGGTTGTTTAAAATATTTTATTGTTCTTTTTCAAAAAAAATATAAAATTAAGTTTGGTAAAATTGTGTAACTTTAAAAGTAAGAGTATGATCAAAGATTTCAAAGTACTTTTTACTTGTTGATTTTAGTTATATATTTTTTTAAGTGAATTATATATTTAATTTAGGGTTAAAATGTAATAACAATAATTCTTTTTTGGTTGTTATTTGATTGTTGACTAATGTGGACTATTATAGAGTTGGAATGCTGATGGAGTTTGTCTAATAACATGTTCTTTCACTATTCATAGAATTGCAATAAGCCGTGATAAAACATTTACATCTAATCTTAGTTGTACATTATAAATCCAATATCTTTAGAGTTAAATGCCCTCACTTTTTTAATTTTTAATTATAATTTTATACAAATTTATTAATTTTTAAAATAAATAATCAGAATATTTTTCGTTCAACATATAAGTCCAATCGTTAATCCATTAATAATATTTTTATCAGTTTGATGATATAATAATATTAAAAAAATAATTTTACTATTTATCAATTTTAAAAATTACCACATTATATAAATTATTTTTTTTATTATTAATTTTTTTCTTCTGGAAAAAAAACCTATCGCATTAAATCTAACCGGAGCCAAATCTCCTTCCTTGGGTGTTCCTTGGAAGCACCAGATCGTGGGTGCTCCTTGGGAGCACTGATTTGATGCTACCTAAGAACATCGATAGGGAGCTCCCTAGTGTGGTGCTCCTTGGGAGCACTGTTTGCGTGTTCCCCAAGAAACGGTGCTCCATAGAGAGGACAAATCTAGTGCTCCCCAGGGAGCATTGATGTTGGGAGTACAAATCTGGTGCTCGTTAAGAAATTCAATTGAATTTGAATCAGATTTGATTAATTTAAAATATATATATTTCAGGTATTTTAATTTAAATATTAACACCGTTTAATTGTTTAAGGCCGAATGTTTATTTTATAAATTAATAAATCAGTGTATAATTATAATTAAAAGTTAAAGTGATAGAGATTTTTTTGTCACCTTTTCAAATAGAGTAAGGTACAAATATGAAATAAAACTTGATAACATTGTAGAGTAAATTGTAATATGAGATTATATTAGTTTTTTTAGTACAATCATATTACATGTATTAACTGTAATACGATTACATTATAATTTTATATTACGTTGACTTGTTTCAAATAAATATTGTAATATATTTTAATTAACACATTACCGAGAATGTAGGAGTATAATCCTCGCACCAAATGTTACCTATGTTTATGCATAGATGCAAATATCAGTCATATAATTGGTCGAGACAACTAGCACTGTTGTTACTGTAAAGGTGAGGCTAAAGTATATAATGAAAAAAAAAAGTAAAAATGTTTCTATAAAAAAAATCAAAAATTAAATATTAGTGTACAAAAAGAGAAAAGAAAGGAGAAGATGCATATAACTTAAAAAAAAACATAATGTTTGAAAAAACTCTTGAACTATTTAAAAAAATTCAGATAAATTATTATTCTTTTATTACGTTTAAATAAGTTTATATATTTTTATTTTGGATCAAATAGACTTTTATGACTAATGATTAACTAATATCAATTAGTCACGATATCATTTGTTATTTTATACTTACATGATAATGATGTGATGTTAATGTGAATGGTGAATATGTCACATGTTTATTTCATCATACCACATCATTATTAATTATAATATATCAACATACCATATCATCATTATTATGACATGTTAGCATATCACATCAGCACCACGTAATATAAAATAACAAATAATATTTTAACTAAATCAACCATTTATTATAAAAACTTATTTGATTTAAAATAAAAATATATGAGCTTAATTGAATACAGTAAAAAAATATGAACTTATTTGATTTTTTTAAATAATTTAAAATTTTTTTTAAATATAAACTGCTTAAATTATTATTTTAAACATAAACTATATAAACTGCGTTTTAGGTATCTATAAATTGATGTCGGCCACGTTTCTTGTGACTTTCATTATGAGTGTCAATAGCCATTGTTGACCTCAATCTTCAAATCATGCCCACTGACCAATAACTCAAGAAAATGATTAAGGACGGAACTAACCTTGGGATCAAAAATAAACAAAAATAAACAAAAATAAGGGTTAAGGTTTTTTAAATAACTATTAAGATAAAAAAATATTATATATATATATATATATATACAACATTTTAAAAATTTTGAAACCGATTCAGGATTGTAAGCGAGAGAGATGACAATGAAATTGTATATGCAAATATAAGAATTGAAATGTTGAAAGATGAGCAAGAAAGTATGAAATAGAGTTTGCGTGAGTAGTTGATGGGTTCTTTCGATCTAAGCACTTCCATGTTCGCAATCTTAAAGGTTTTGTTTTGGAGTAAGTATTAACGTGTTAGGTTGAAAAGAATGGAATAGTCAACTTCACTAATTTTGTATGGCTTTTTCTGAAAACTAATATATATAATTAATTTTTAATTATTTAATCGAGTGTTTAACAATTCAACCAATTAACAAATAATGCCTTATTATTAAAGTTTAATTTTGAATAGTATTTTAAGATTTGAATACTTTCTTAATTAAACAAATTTGAGATAAGGTCCGTAAATAAAAATGAGTATCCCACCGTTTACATCTCCGGTTTTAGAGCTTCCATGTCGTAATTCAGCTATCCAATAAGAAACGGAAGTAAGAGAAGGCAAAGATGATACGAAGCCTTTATCCAATGAAAAGCATTTTTTTTTTCTTGCACTTTCTTTCCCCTTTTGCTTTGGTACGTAGGGAATCTTACACAAACATCCAAGGATAACACTGTTCTTAACAATATATCATGCTACAAGTATCGATGACCCTTCCCCATCAGTATCTGGTGCATGATTATACACAATAAACAATATAATTCGGCATTTTGGAGCAAAAACAATACACCAAAAGGACAAAAAAAGGGATCTGCGCCTAAGTCTTTCTCCATCTCTCCAAAACTGCAAATTGGGAGATGAAAAGATATTAGATACGCAAAGTCAGTTTCTTAAAAATGTTCTGCAACGGCAGGAAACACCGTAGAGAGATTGTGGTTGCGAGCAGGTATAACTGGTGGCAGTATCACTAACAACTTCAGAGCCATTCGCTTCTAGTGATCGGAACCATTGGCATCATCTCCTTCTAAGCTTCTTCTTTTCTTCTTCCCTTCGCCATGCCTAGACCTCCTCGGTGCCTCATCCTCACTTTCACTCTCATCAGTTCTGAAGCTGTTTCCAGCAGCAAACTGATCTTCACGATGAGCCTTTTGTCCTTCTTGCTGATACTGTATCTCATCATCCAACCTGCCCCCTGGACCAGCCATTTCCTGACCTCTACCCTGCTCTGATCCTGCACTATATCTGTCATTGGTTGGTGTCCTCTGATCTCTCTTAACTGCCCGACCAGAATTCTGGGAGGAAGGTGCTGGGGGTGGGGGAAACATAGGGGGCATGCTGACTGGGCGGCCACCTCGGACAGGATTCACACCTGTAGGCCCCATACCCCCCATAAATGGAGCACGACCAGGACCCATCATCATCCCAAGTCCACCAGCAGGAAACATAGCCCCAGGCTGTGGAGGTCGCCCTGGAAACATCATGCCAGATGCAGGACCTGTAAAATCTCCAGAAAACCTGGGTCCATATGGTGGAAAAGGACGGGGAGCACCAAAAAGATCTGGCACCCCAAAACCATCAGGTGTTACGGGTCCATACGAAAAGCCATCACCACCCATCATCATAGCTGGAAAACCTCGCATCCCAGGCATGGGTCTGGCACCTCGGGCAAGTGGCATGTGAGGGGGCCACATCACTCCTCTACCTCTTCCTCTTCCCTGAGCTGCAGCACCAAAGCTTTCATCCTCCTCCTCACTTTCTTCCTCTTCTTCTTCTTCATTGTCCTCAAATGGCACAATGTCTGGGTTCTCTCCTCCATTATCTGAATTGACTCCCTTTGCTTTCTCTTCTTCTCGTTTTAATTCTGCTGCCACCGAAATAGCCTGCACCCCAAGGGAATAAAAAATTGAATACACAATACAAATTCATTTATTGTAGATATCCAATAAAATGAAGGGCAAGTCAATGTGCAATACAGACATCTTAGTATTAGGCTGCCTCCTTTTATTTGAACAACCAAAAGCAAGGAAAATGAAAGCTATGTAATAAACTAAACAAAGATGGTTCAACTGCATCTTCTACTTTAAGTATATCAAAACAATAATAGTCTAATCTAAGCCCAACATCATTGCTCAATTCCCTAGACCACTCTAGACAATCTTATCACTAAATGCACATGCATAGTATGACTTCCTAGAAGGCTATTAGCCTGTATGAATCTTTAATTCATACCTATATCATACAAGGACCTCATATTATAGTATATAAATGAAATCACACTAATTTGCAGCCAAGCAAGCACTAGAACGCAAGACTTGCTTCCCTCTCTTTTCGTTCATTGCCTCTTTTTTTTTTTGATATTTCTCTATACCATTCTAATAATTCTATTTCTATTTGTTTTGGAACTCAGAAATTAGAAAAATTAAAATAAAATAAGCATACCATAAGCTCACTATCTGGCTCAAGATAAAGCAAGGAGGCCAACTGCTCACCAATAGAAGGCTCTAACTCCTGACAATCTCTACTTATCTGCACTTGCACAAAGTACCGGAATAAGGTTGAAAGTAAAATTGACTCAAAACCAACAGCATCATGGAAGTGGAAATATCACCTATTACAGACACTATTACTGCAGATAAAGATACATGGTAAAATGGTAGATAATAATTCATAAAAACCAGAGTATTAAACTAATTAATTGACAAAACTTTTTCTAAGTAAAATTATCCTCAACCAATTTTATGGATTAACCCTTGGAGGCCTTGAATTGCACCTTTACTGGTAAGTTCTCATTGTAGGGGTTCCTCAAATGGCGAGTTTTGTGGAAGGACAGCTCACATAACTACATATCAAGAACAGCTGTAAGTATATAGATCTTTAGGCATGCCCAAAAAATTATCAAAATATTGCACCTGATAGAGGGCATTAAACAACTGAAACAGTACAAATGTAGCAAAATTAGATCAAATGACCAAGAAATATCAAAATAAGCTCCATTCTAAAGATATTTTTAACTTTTTTAGTTCCTTAGAACTTAGCTTTACGGAAAATTTTGTTCTCAAAATGAGAGGAGAAGGAAGGGGTGTAGAAATGTACTTTTAACCATTTTACTGAGAAATTTCGTCCATAATGTGCAGTTCCATGAGCATATTTCCAGTTCCCTCCAGCAACAGATCCACCAATTTTTGATGTCATCTTGGCACAACCCTAATAAGCCAAAGACAATGTAATGGCTACCACATCATAAAAGACGAAAAGGCAAAATTTTGGACTAATGATAATACCATAAGACCAAATAAAGGACTGACTAGATAGTTATGCAAGATCTAGTAAGACATGGGTAACAAGTTATTTAGGAACAACACAGGTGCCAATTCTCAAATTGAATAGATAGAGGATATTAGATTTCTGAACTACCTGGAAATGCCGAGTACGATTAACTGAGAAGATCAAAATCACATTTACAGCAGAATCAAAAGCTTCATTCAGTTTAGCCTCATTGCTTCTTTGAGTTGCCCATACTCCTTGTTGAACAGATAGTTCCAGATTTTCGCGGTTGCAACTTTTAACAATAAAATACCTAGGGTGCCATATACATGAGCCGGTAATCAATCACTAAGTCAACGCAGTTTTTTTAAGTACAAAGTATCATAGTAGGCATATGGTTTACTAATGTTAGATTGTCAATTATAAGGCTGAACTTAAACTCAAGGATTTTTAGGCATATCAGTTTTCAACCCATTTGACAGATGGACAAAAGCAAATCCAATATAATACTACTCCAAGGATTTTTAGGCAAACTTAACCATAGATTTGAACATTAGGGTTCTTATTACTGAGCATTTTAATTTGTTCAACATCAGGGTTGCAACTATATCTTCTAATTATAGTGATCCTCAAACTCTAGAATCTTAACATATAAAGTAGAAAAGGCATGAAGCTGTAACTTAATAGTCAAAAGTAGCAAAATAAGCATGCACATATGAAAACAGTGACTGATTTACTTTCAAACTTCCAAGCCAACAAACACAATGACACAAGACTTCATCACATCCTTGTAAAAAAGTTGGTCTAGTTGTAGAAAAATACTCCAAAATTCTAAAATACAAAACAAAGACAAGACAAGTTAGTTTTCTTCCCTTACCCTAAAACGGTATAGAAGAATAATCCTTTTCACCATCAAAAGAAGAAAGTTGTTTGTTGTATCTAAAGCTTCAACAAGTTAAGAAGAAAAAAAAGGAGAAGAGTTAATTTATTCAGTCCTTAACTGCACTATCTAAGCCAAAAGGTTGCAGGTAGATAGCACTAGATTCACCTTTTTATGTATGCCCATTCAAAATAAAAGATACAAGAGCTTGAAGGATGAAAACAACAGAGAAAAGAATACGAAATCATTCAATTCTCAAATTTGAATAATACAGCATAAATGTGTAGAAAAAAGCACAACTAATTTAGGTTTGTATGAAACTAAATACACCTCATAGATGATGACAGAATTCCTTTAGGCAATTATTGTTGAATAACGGACATCTCATAACTATGTCCAAAATAAAATACAATTAACGATTTACAAAACCCAATTAAAGACCCCAGGACTCTGAACACACCTAGATATTCCTTGAGGCAAAGGTATAGCAGTTTTGTTTGCCTGGTTAGACTGACTGTTGGGGATATTTTGTATCTGGGTCTGGCTGACCTGTTGTTGAGGCTGTTGAACTTGCTGCTGTGGCTGCATGTTAACAGATTCTGTTGTTGAAGGTTTTCCACCTGCTCCTTGGTTTACATTGTTTTGTCCTTGTGGAATCTGAGATTTTTCTGTTTGTTGGGCAAAGCCAGAATTCCTTTGTTGAAAAAATTTGTTATAATTGTAAGAACTCAACTGCTGAATCTTTTGCAGGACTTCTTCCACAGGAGGTGGAGGTCCTGGGAGCTTTGCATGCCTATATCGGCAGTCAGCACCATTCGGACAAAAACCTAGCTTGTACCTGCAACCATGAAATTTTGTGTATTAGCAGTCATCCTAATGAGAAAACAGAATTGATACTACTATATTCAAGAAATTCCACGGTTTGTGTTTTACAATGCATTCAAGGTAAGTAATCTTTGGGAGTAATATTAGCACAAAAAGAAACTAATAAACTAGCTAGATAATATCCCAGTTGCTTAAGTCTGCATTAAAGAAAAGCCGAATTGGTCTTTTGTCCAGTTAGTACACATTCTCTACGCAACTAAAGCCTCATCTTCCCACCCCCTTTGGTTTTACTTGCTTCCATAATATGAGGTTTCCTTTTTCTTTTTAGCTTCTTCCTCCTTTCACTTAGATGAACAAAATTCAAGCAAAAAAAAGTAATTTGGAGATCGAAGGACTTCCAAAACAAAATAGCCATTGTCTTCTTCAGTTAGCCTTAACAATTTAAAGCACAATTTCTATCAGCTATTAACAAAATTCATTAAAGATAAAAATTATAGATTAATTCAGCTCAATCCTATAAGGCACATTCCATACAACAAAGAACAAGAAACAATAAAGCAAGCAATTAAACTAGTAAAAGAAAAAGAGCATACATGTTACACTCCTTAATATCCTCGTTGGTGTGTTTGTAGACACAATCTTGCTCCCGGCACTCACCAAAAAGCCGAAAAAACCGGCAGACCGGCATGCGGGACTTGTCGTACTGGTGAAGGAAACCACAGGCGTCGCCCTTCATGCAGAGGCTGCGGAGCCAGTGCCGGCATACAGTCTGACGAAAGCTCCTTCGCCCAGCTCCTCCGCCACCCACAGCGGCGGCGGGGTCACTTGTCGAAATAGGGACAGCGCCTGGGACCGCGGAGTTGTTGTTGCTGTTGTTGTTGGCGGCGGCTGAAGGATCGGAGTTGACAACGGGCATGGAGGCAGTTGGCGCGGCGGGACCCGCATCGAGACCGCCCTCGAAATCGAAGCTGAGACCTCCCTCCGAGTCATCCATTTCGACGCGCGTGACCTTCCGTCTTTTCCTTTTCTTTTTTTTTTTTCTTTCACTCTTCTGGTTGGTTTAGGGTTTATTGTCGGAAATCATGGGAGAGAGAGCGGAGTTAGAATTAGATGTTCGAACTTCTAACTTCGAATTTTCAATTTACAAAGAAAGGTTGCAGTTTTCTCTGTTTTTTAAAATGTACTTATTACGATTAGTACTTTCTGTCTTTCTTTGTTTTTTTTTGGTCCTATTTAAATGGGCTCACGTATATCCTTAATTGTACTATTGTAAATTTTATTTGGAGGTTAATTTACTATTTGTGAAACACTCACAATTTGCAATTGCTTATTTACTAAAAATTTTATCTATTTTCCTTAAAATTGTTTATGAATTTCCAAATTAATGAACTCCCTGCCCTTTGATTTTTTTTTATATATCAAAAGGATATAAATGATGTTTAACATTTTAAGGTTTCATGATTTTTAATTATTGTAAAAATGATTATGAGCATATAAAATTACGACCTTTGATAAAATCTTTAAAAATAAAATTGCATAAACAACATTTTTAATAAAATACCAAACGACACTTAACAGCACAAAATTTAGTAAAAGCAAAAAACTTAATGAAATCTGAGCACGTGGAGGTCTGGAATCAAATTATGTTCATCATATATTATGAGATTAGATATAAACAACAGTTGGAAAATGTTTGATCGGACATTGCATCCATGAAGCAATGCAAGATAGAAGAAATGAGAATATAATGTTGAACTGGACTTCTGAACCAGATGCAAGTCCCATTATGGCACATTATGGAAATGGCACTCATGATTTCCAGTTCCTTGTCCAGCAAGTTTATAGCGCCTGCTGCTAGTAATTTTGCTATAAATTATTTTCTGCAGTATAAAACACCAGCAAGCAATATGATCTAATCCAAATAAAGCAGAGCTATGAAAATTTAATTCACGTCATGGTATCAATCATGTTTGGTTTCGACCATCCAATAGTTTAATAGGATTTGTACAATTATACTAGACAATGTTCTAAAAGAGGAAAATGAGGCAAAAGAGAGGCAGAAAAAAATGGAATAATAGACACAACTTGACAAATCTGGTTTATTTTGCTTGATTGCAATTATCACAATAAACAGATATCCATGAATACAATATCTTTTACCAATCTATACCCAATTCTCTTGAAAGGAACAGTTTGTCAATGTACAAAATAATGGGACCAGATGCTGTTACATAGTTTTGCATTTGAATCCTTGCTGATGCCTCTGCAAGAAAAGAAAGAGGAGAAATGACATCAAATTATCAATACGAGTCAATTACTTTTAAAACAAAAGCCCCCATGTGCTGATCTATGTTTTTCTACCTCTATTAAGCACAGAGTGGATTGAGAAGCCACTTCCTTTTCACAAGGAAAACATTAATGGTGTGAAAGTTAAGGCTAAGCCATCTTTCAACCAATACAAATTCTAACTATGGTTTTTCAAACATGTCCAAAGACACAACCTCATCCAATCTTGAAGCAAGATTTTGATTGCAAACCAAGCCCTATGCTAGAGACTGAACCATATCCTTCTACTAATCTGTTTTCATAATCATTAAACATCTTCCTAGAGAAAAAGGAAACACCAAATGTAAACACAGTCCCAATTCCACTTATGCTCAATCGACCATAGGTGGCATAGTTTAATGCTCAACAGGTTTAGTTTTGCGTCACCAAACACCCGCACTCTATGGGGATGCACCATTTTCAATCACAAGCTAATGGAAACAGATAAGAATACCAAGTACAACATCTGCATCAAGTACTTTATTAAGAGTTATTGGATTGCAAAAGACAAATCATGCATGCTCACCATCTTCATTTAGCTTTTTTAACAGCTGTGCCCTTGTAGGGAGGGCATACATTCCTGCAGCTACAGCTTTCCTGATTGCCCACCCATGATGGGGTGCAAATACCTGCGTGTAGGCCTTGGAAGCTGGATCTTTCAAGGAATTCCCCCTGCCAAGGAAAGATCCTAAGTAAACTGATTCAACAATTTCAACCTCATAATTAATTGCAGTCTGCTTATAGCTGCAAGTTGCAATCACATGAGTATTCCTGTCTCAATATTCCATAGAATAAATTTTAGATTAATTTGCTGCATAGTAAACCACAAAGGTCACAACATAACAAAGTTAATATACTAGGCAAACTAGCATTGAAAGGAGCATTAACTCCTCTTGTCTATATATAATACTTATGGATCTGCACAAAGAAAAATTTTCTCAATCATTCTTCTGAGCATTCTAAAGCTGACTTTCAACTATAAGTAACCAAAAGATGACTCTAAAGATCTAGAAAATTTTCTATTAAGAGAGAAAAAAAAGATCTAGAAAGATTATATAATTACATATATAACCTTGCAGCAAACAAAGAAGCTCTTAAAGAAGATTATTGGAAGATGCATATGTTTCTATCCCATGTAGCATGGCTTACAGCAAGACTATCATAAATTGCTTATTTCTTTGGAGCTCATTGCAGAACAATGGTTTCCAACTAAACTGGTGCCTAATTAGTTAGATGCAATAATACTACATAAAACAGGAGTAACGGACAAGGTCACCTGAATTAAAGAACACAGAAGAGATCCATATGACCTGATTCACACATCACAGTGACTTGTCATTTGCTTATTTCTCTTTTTTCTCAAACACTTATCAACGTAATTTCAATGAGTACCAATCACCCCAGCCATGAGTTAATTCTTTGGTTACACTTCAATCAAACAGTAAGGACTGTATTACACCGGCAGACCAAGGTTATTTGAGTTCTCAAAATCTTTTAGCAAACAAAATTTCTCATGCCTTTAAGGAGGAAAAGAATCAAAAACAAACCTAAACCTTAGAAAAATTGGAAAAAACGATTTCATGCCCAGAGCTGAGTCACATTCCATAAAGTCAAGTCTACATTCCGTAATCCTAGCAGACAGCTAGCACAAGAGGCCATCTATATTCCATTATCAAGTCATAATGATACTAGAGCATGTATATGCTTTTGGTGTTAAAGTCTGCAAACAACTTGTAACAGCAAAGATATATTTCTCACAAACTAATCAAATTGAGTTAAACATATATTGGCAGCAGCTTGATGATTTAGTTTCAATTGAATATAGGCATTGGGCTCTTACTCTGTAACTAGAATTTGTTCAAAGAGTACTCTGACCATGTCAAGCCCACGTTTCACTCTCAAAAGGTTTCTTGTATGACTCCCAGCTTTCCTGACGCAATTCCCCTCTACATCCCTGTCGAGCATTGCGTTGAGCGTTGCAATTGACTTCGACGCCTCTGCAAGATCATCAACCTGTTATCACCAACCACTTCACAAAATCAAACAGTTTCCCAAAATCAACGATTATTAGGAATCATTCGGCAACGCTATTTTGGTCTGACTTTTTTTGCTATTTCCTATTTTTGCTCGATTCTCGTAAAATTTATTGAATGAAAACATTTCAAATACTCGAATCACCTAAATCCGTACCTTGGCGACGTAATCCATTTCAGCGAACTTGAAGGCGATGCCCAAACAACCAAACAAAGGAGAGACTAAAGAGCAAGCGCGTGAAAAAGTGGCCACCTCCATATCCACGGCTTGCGAGTTTACGGTTGCTGCAAGTTCCTTGAACGCATCAGAGATCTTTCTCAGTGTCTTTTCGTTCTCTAAATCCGCCATTGTTGATCTCTCTCTCTCTCTCTCTCTCTCTCTCTCTGTCTCCCTCTCTCAGAAGTTAAATTCTTTTGTCTGTGTCTGGTCAATTTTAGCGAGGGGAATGTTCTTTGCTGCACTAGGACGCAGAAAGAACGCGGCATCAAGGGGACAATATTTGGCGCTTGTTTGGCTACTAATGCGGTATATTCTGTTACGGATTGAGATTGTCCGGCCCTGGTTTTGAATCTCGGACAGCTCAGCCGTATAGCTTTTGTCCTGTCCACGTGATCTAGATTATCCTTTGTTCGTAAATATATCATTATTCTTACTTAAAATTACTTAACAATAACCTTATCAAGCTCAAAAACTAATTTTGCCCTTTTTTCCTCTTTTAAATGATTCTTGTTTCATTTTTTATTATTAAATTTAGTTATTATGATTAAAACTACTATTAACTAACATTTTTTAATTATTTATTTATACACGTAACATGTGCCTCGAATTTTAATTTTTGTATTTTCTTGCATAAAAATATTGTAAAACAACGTAAACATGCTTTAATTGGAAAAGAAATAAGCAAAATTGAAACTTTGAAAGGGATGTCATGATGATTTAATTTAAAAAAATTTCAATTTTATAAATTTTTCATGATATAATAAAACTTTATATTTTCAATATCAAAAAGTATATGTTAAGAATTTCCCGATCTCAAGGCTCTATTTAAATTATATTAATATAAGATGGAAAACTTTTTCCTTAACGACTAGATAATAATACTATCTTTGCATACAATTCATTTTTCAAAACAAACAAATTATAGAAACTATTCATACTTTGATTTTTTTTATTGCACATATTGACGTCAATCTAGTCTTAGGTTACTCAATGAAAATAATTATCTTATATCATAGTGCAAAAATTGATGATATTATACAAAGAGAATAAGTTATACAAACCATTCATGTATATTTATAGAGGAGTATATTTTATTGTAAATAGACGTCAACTTGCTTTTTATTGTGTAAAGAACAAGTTATACAAGCCATTCATATCCTTAAATTTACTATATATATTAATATTTTTTTCTCGAATAATGAATGCATCATAAAGTATTAATCTTGTGAATAACTCATAATAGATCAATTATAAAATTTTCACATTTTAAAAGTAAGACTAAAATCAAACAAATTAAGATTGAGAATGTGATTGTGTAAACTTCAAGTTAAAACGTAAATTATCGTTAGATATAAGATATAAGTCGAAATTAAATAAATCACGAATCCAAATTTTTTTTGTATTAATTTCAAATTTAGACGTTAATTATTATTGGACAGACGATATATAGGGCCCAAACTCTAGCCCACTTGTTATACGACCCAATTTTGAAATTGAGAGCGGGGACGGGGGCGGGCAAAATAAGATCCCTTCTTCGAATTTCCCTCTTCTTCTACACTGCTCGTCTAAAATTTTCTTCAACGATGGCTCCCAAATTTGTGTTTCTCTGCGGTATATTTACTCGAAG